TTCCTGCTGATGCACTAGTGATCTTCAATGCAGGCCTGGTAACTTTCTAGCAGGGCTGTTCTTTGTTAGTTTCATGCATTCCTGATGATGCAATGGTGATCTTTAATGCAGGCCTGGTAACTTTCTGGCAGGGCTGTTTTTTGATAGTTCCATTCCCTGGTGTCTAGTATGTGATCAGCATTCAAATATGTCTTCATAAAAGACAACAACAATGAATGAGACGAAAACCACCATATTACTAGACTTAATTCCATTTTCAGTATTATAATAGATAAGCAGAAATGCGCAATTTTTAGATAACAGCAGTAAATTTCTACATGATAATACATAATTAATTATTTTTTCACCTTAACCTGAAGATCTTCCTCATCTTTCTTTTCATCAAGTTTACTCTCCTTTTCTTTCTCACCATCTTTTTCCTTCTCAGCAGCTTCTCGTTTCTTTCTCTCTTCCCTTTTCTTCTTCTCCTCCTCTTTCTTTTTTCGTTCTTCTTCTCTCCTCTTTTTCCTTTCCTCTTCTCTCTTCCTCCGCCGCTCCTCTTCTCGCTGTCGAATCCTCTCCCTCTCTTTTCGCTTCCTTTCTTCTCTACGTTCCTCCCTAGCACGCTAAACACAAGGTGACAAATTATTTAAAAGCTTTATGAAATGAGTATGGACACCTGTGATTGTACTACAGATTTATCGAAAGTACCTTTACCTCTCTTTCCAACTTTCTATTCCTGATATATTCAATAAGAGGTGTTGTCTTTTTCTGTGGACCTGCAGCTGTAAGAAATGTTGTAGACAAAAATTGAAGCATACTCATCATATACTCAACATATAATACTACTAAAAATGTAACCAATATATGCTGTATTGAGAGAATGAATCATTTTATGGATAACATTTGGATCAATGATAATATATGTCATTTCAGTCAATAATGAAATATTTAGAAGAAATGAAAATTCATAATATTTTTCGACCCAAAATACTTTTAATTGCGGAATAATGTCTATCAACATATGTAATGTATTGTGTACTACCCATATGTTAAGTTTGAATGGAATTGGTCAATGCATGGACAAGAATTAGGAAAAACATCATTTTTGAACCAAAAAGACAACCTTCAAACATTTTGATTGTGAAATTGTGTCCATCAGTGTGTCTATTGTATTGTGTATTACCAATATGTAAAGTTTGAATAAAATTGATCAATGCATCACCAAGAACAGGTAAAAATATCATTTATTTTTGACCAAAAATTACCTAAAATACCCCTAAATGTGCATGACTGATAAAAAAGACATTACATTAAAATAAAATGCGTTTCAGAGTTGTGATGTGACATGAATGCACAGACGGACAGACAAAACCAAATGCATGAGAATCCTGTGATGGGGCCACCGGTAATGAAATAAATAAGAAAAATTCAAAACTTCCTCTACCTTCCAATTCACGTTCTTTGGCTTCAATCTCTTCAAGGTATGATTCTGCACTTGGTAAGGGTTCCACTTCAGCATTCAGAGACTCCAAAAATTTAACATAGTCAGGATCTAAGAAAAATGAAGAATAAAATAAATCAAATAGGCGGGAAATATTTATTGTGAAAGCAGTGCAATGTAGGATATTAAAGCACAGAGACGAGATTTTATGAATGTAGCAATAACGTGAAGCAGCTGTTATTAAAGAGAGAACCAAGGGTAGAAACAGGGCAAGACAGTAGCCGAAATTAGTAAGCTAAGCTAGTAACATCATGGTGAGGTGGTCTGGGAAACGTGCCAGTTATGAGGTTTGGAGGCCATATTGTAAGTTTAAACAGGCTGGCTATCACAACTTGGAAATACTGCTCTAACACAAGTAAAATGTACGTCTATAAGCAATTTTGGGGTCAAATATGGCTGCCAGTCGGCCATTCAAGCATTCAATGCACTTCTGAGATTCTGCGACAGATGAACAGCGGGACGGAACCAAATCAATAAGCCTGTGGACTGTGTCCAGTTTTGGAGCTAATGAAATCTCATCAACTGCAAAAGTGTCCGGCATAACACGTATACAAGATACTGCAAGACACAATGCGATCTATGGGACAGTATGTTACAGTGACAGAATGCTTTACCATCCTCAATGGATCCTGACTTTACATCAGGTTTCTTCAATGCTTTCTTTGGTATCTTCTGGTAAGGAGCAAGTTCCACGACTGCTGGGAATTCTTCACCTAGCGGAATATAAGTCATTGTCAATTTGTCCAAGGAGTGGCTAAAGACATACAATTACAGTGTAAGTAAAACAAAAATTGTCACCAAACAATCACTTTGCATCATGTGCATCAGTAACCTACCATGTGTGATAAGGAATATATATTTAACACCTTGACCATTCTAGTTCATAGCTAGTCAAGGTAGAATTACTGATATTGTTTAGCAATAATACACCAATGACATGACTTGTCAAGTAGATTTCAATTACTGTAGAATGCTGAAAATTTTGAGACAATTTGGGGTAGGCATGACCCAATAAACAATGCATCGTGAACCAAGTTCCAAGTCCACTGACATAAATCAAACACAATATCACATGTACCAGAAACGAATGCCAATGAATCCAAAAACAAATTCATAATACATGTATAACATTATGTGTTGCCTTTGTACCAAATTTGAACAGAATGTGGTCAAGCATATCAGAAAAATGTCGACAAACAATTACAGACACACGTGCGTGCATGTGAATATGTATACATGCTTATCAGAAACACCTGTTATTTACATTAGCACATGCTGCTAATAGAGTAAATAGGGTATGGTCCAAACAGAAATAAAAAATGCATTTTCTGGTTTCCCACACTATTTTCTTTTCATTTTTTAACACATATACATTACAAAGTTATTACCGTACACAGTGTGTATAGCTTCAGTAACTATGTATCAGAATTGCCAATTCCAGCAGCAGACATGAAATAGTTTGTGTGTAAATAGATCAGTTAGGTACCTTTGGTGTCATTAAAAATGTATCCGTCATACTTGTCTCTGAATGCAATGATATCTTCCTGTTTTACAATATTGATGTATACTCTGGAGAATGCATTCGGCCCAAGGCTAAATAAAAGAAATACAACGCTTAATACATAACCATAATAAAAAGGTAATACACAGATCAATAACAAAGATGGGCAAATAATAGCAAAATGTGATCTTGAACATTACAGTTACTTACAGCAATTCCAGGCACTGATTTGACGCTGAAGTAGTGATAGATATCGATAACATTCTACAATAGGTTACACACTTTGATTTCACATTTACATAAGTTGTAACTAGAAATATAAACATCGGCTGCAAATCAGAGGAATGATTGACAGATATTGCCCGCAATGTTTCCTATTTTTGCTACAAAGTCTGACGCCTCTAGACGTTGAGGCGCGTCTGTCTTTTAGTCACTTTTGGTCAGTTATCGTATTGATTGCGTGTCTACAAATCGGCATTTGTCTAAGTTGTTTAAACACCGCGATGGAGAAGCAAGGGGTTGTCGAGTTGTCGACTGTCATTTGCCGAGATCGGAGATCGAAGTGGTGTTTCAAAGCAAACAGCTTTTAATAATAATAACTTTATTACACTACTACGGTAAAAACCCTCAGAGGGTTTTTGTATGGTAAAGAACATAAATACAAAGAAATACAAATACCATAAAATATCGTTTATTGGTATATATAATATCGTCAAATGATTTGTTACCATCAAGACTATACTGCCAGGAAAGCGTAATAGCGACCGATCCGCGACTAAAAAACTAACTGTCAAATATCTAAATTGTAGAGACCAACAAGCATTTACGAACGGGAAATTCGACAAAAACTACTCAAAGACGGTGTATGTACGGCGGCAACCCTCCCGAACGTGTGATCATGTGTTGCTAGTGATAAGCTGTTTAAAGCGATTGTTTGGTGGCACATTAATCTTTTGGTTGTCATCGTCAAGAACTAATAAGGCCAACAAAAAAAAATTATGTTGCTCTCAATTTGGAAAATTGAAAAATTGGGTCGGTCGGTCGGTTGGATTTTTTTTTTTTTTCGAGAAATACAGATTAACCCGAGGTTAAAAGTCGCCACTTATCCCCCTCGGGGACCCTGGGGATCAAACAACAGTCCGGGATCGTTAATTTTTAAATGGCGAGTTTTTAATATTTGAACCTGTTAAAAAAACCAAAAAAAAACGCGACCCGATATTTTATACTTTCGGTCGGTCGCTGAGGGCAACAAATCGAATCGAATAACACCCATTCTATTTATGTATTCAATTTCATTCCTGATATATTGAATGAAGTCTTCATAGGACATTTGTTGCAGGCAGCTTTCAGTTATATACATCGGCGTGATACCAATATTCCTATAGTAGGAATAATGCACTTTGATCAACAATTTTGCCATGATAAGTCCGTCAGCTGGTTCTGTAAAATACTAGTAACTCTAACTAACGTTCTTTACAGTGCCACCACTTTATGTGCCCCTTTCACTGAAATAACATGTGACGCAAATTGAGGCTGGAAACTAAGTTGAGAGCCTCAATCGTTTATTGGAGGAGAAATTCAAAACTAATGTCCCGCCACTTTTATGGGCGGAGCTTCCTTCCGGTGCGCTTCAAATTGCAGACATTCTGTCTGCATTATTTGTAACAACTTATGTAAATGTGAAAACAAAGTGTGTAACCTATTGTAGTAAGTTATCAACATCTAGCACTACTTTGGCGTCAAATCAGTGCCTGGAATTGCTGTAACATTAAGCTAGCTTAAAGGTAGCTCAGCATGCTTTTAAAACTGCAACAAATCTGTATGTTTGACTTCATACAAGTGATATAAATACTAGAATAAATATTTTGATGACAATGATACTCACTTTAAAAATTATTAGTTTTTATGAAAAGGCATATTTAACTAATAGCCAGTTTATAAGTTATGCCTGGACTGTACTGTACTGTACTTCAGCAAACAATCACATCAGAGCCCTGTTTCATGCAAAAATGTTAAAGGGGAACCGCTCAATCCCATAGATTGCACCACGTGCTCATTGGTAATTAACTCCGCCTCTGTCTACTAAGTAAATGAATGCTTACTATGCTCTCTTAATACACAAACTGTGATTGACAAGCATTTTGAATACATTAGCCGCCATTTTAAACTCAGGATTTTTACTTGTCGCGGCACGTTTTGACTGAAAACAACAACATTTATACATCAAAAGCCCAAGTGTGTAATCGTGTGAGTGTAATCACTAGCGTACATATTCATACTCCCGTAGAAATGTATTTGGAATCACAGCTTGATCTCTAAATATCGTAAATGGCACATTTCCAGGAGCTCCTGCCACGATGTGAGCGGCTTGGTTCGGATTAGCATACTAATTGCGGTGGCCATCTTGTCCCTATTTATAGAATCGGTTCCCCTTTAAGAGACACGACATTTTTTTTTATTTCAATAATATTTCATACCAGGATACATGTACTATTTTGGGGGCAGAATTCAAAGAAGAAGAAAAGATACCTTCTATCAGCTTTTACAAAATGGAAGTAATTGTTGTGTGGTAAATATTCCAATGCTTCTTTGAAAGTTTCTTCAGTAAATGATGGTGGTAATCGACGTATGATGACCTACAGATCACAAAAATTTTGAATTTCATAATATTAAGAAAAAATGTCTGCTAATTATCAAAAACTAATCGCAACTCCAAATATGTGTCACCCTAGGTGTTATATATCTAGTTAGCATAAATAAGCCCATGTCTTGTAAAATTTGTATTACCGGTACTCTGTCAATATTGGCACATTATGAATGTCATAGCGCTGATTCATACTCGGTAGTACATGAATTGCTGTGAAGAGTTTTATTGTCCAGATATTACTTTCACGGTGGTCACATGGCACATTGGCCAAGAGACATGTGCAGTCTAGCAAATCGTTTCACTTTCAAATGTACATGGTTTACCGTGAATCTTCGTTTTAATACGTAATACTTCAATTACCTTTCTAATATTTAAAATTGGGCTTTCATGATGAGGCGAAAAGTGTAATTTCTGTTCAATTTTAGTGTATTAATACTGTATACTTTTACTATTATCTGTAACCATTGCCATTCCCTTTGGGGAGTAAGTATGTGTTAATAAATAAATAAACAAGCA